GGCTCCATAAGAAATGAAATGCAGGCTTCATTTCCTGCCCATACGAGGACTTGACGCGGGATTCTGGAACTCTGGCATGTCGCTGAGAAGCTGCAATGCAGTGCGCGTTCAGGCCTTGTAGAATAGAAGCCGTACAAAACCTTTCGTGGAATCCTGTCAAGTTCAAGTTCACTTCCCTTACAGCGCAATTGTGGACGCAAAGCCCCGAGTGCGTGGAGGCGCTGCTGAAGGCCTTCAGCAGCGTTTCCACGCGCTCGGCGTGGCCTTTCCATGCGGCGAGGTGGAGCGTCTGACCGACGAAGTGAGTCCTTCTCGGTGCTGACAAGGGGCTGAAAGACAACTATGGCGAAACGGTGCTGGGCAGGAGATGAAGCCTGCAAGTCACTCCTCAAAAAGGCCAGAGGCTCCATAAGAAGTGAAATGCAGGCTTCATTTCCTCCCCATACGAGGACTTGACGATTCTGGAACTCTGGCATGTCGCTGAGAAGCTGCAATGAAGTGTGCCTCCAGGCCTTGTAGAATAGAAGCCGTACAGATTCTTTTGTGGAATCTTGTCAAGTTCAAGTTCACTTCCCTTACAGCGCAAGTGTAGACGCGAAGCCCCCGACCCGAAAGCCTTCAGCAACGCCGCTGAACCGTGTCAAGGACTCCGGACACCGTCCCAAACCGAAACGTTCTGATGCACCTACTGACCTAAACCCTCAATCCCAAGGCCTCAAGCCTAAGCCCTAAGCTGAGCGGCTGCTGATTCGAGCCAAATGTGGCTTTGTATGCCATGGTGACCTGAAAGTTGGTGCAAGCATGCTCGGGACACTGTTTGTCTACTTGAGACAAGTAGAACACCTGTAGTTCACTGCGAGCGGGAGTAGTCTGCAAGGCAACCGTGCTGGAGACCTCTATGGACTCTATGGCTGTAAGTTACCTGGCCTACTCAAGTTGCTAAGTTGTGGTAGTCCTTTGCATCTGCCAGTGCCTCATGATGCAGCTAGCCCCCAGCCGGCTCGAACAGTGGCCGTACGAACTGCTCTGTGAGGAACCTTGGAGCTCGAGGGGATATTTTAAGGGTTTTGGCTTTCCCAAGTGGGGCACATACATCAACTGCCGCACGCCAGAGGTGCTGGGCCTGCTTCAGCTGCACGACCATGCTGCCGCAAAGATATCCGAGGATTGTGTGCCGTCAAGCTTTGCTCTTGCACTAAACATTGGGCAGTGTTGCATCAGCTCGATGTGGTTTTGTCGGAAGGCCTTTTCGAAGAGTTGGGAGCTTATGGCATCATCAGCCTCCTTCCGCATGCCGAGCTTCAGCAAAATCCAGCCAAGTTCAACCCGTGATGTTGTACAGCCCCCGCCCCTAGCCCCCTCGACCCGAACCCAGCTGGCAATTAGGACGTGAGGCGAAGAGCAATGTCCCGATGTCGAGGCCCAGCGTCACCTTAGCTGGGATGATTTCGAGGTATGCAGGGACAACTTCCTCGAATGACACCAATGAACTAGTGACTACAGACAGCTTTCGAAGAGGTTTGAGAGCAGTTCTGCTTGCTTGTCACCGCAGAGGCCCCACCTCTGAGTTCTAAGATGACTGTTCAAAAACCACGAATTGTTTTAAATTCAATAAAAACAAACTCCAGAAAAACGAAACTGTCAGGATACCCGGACCCTAAGCCCCAAGCCCTGAACCCTAAACCCGCTCCTAAACCCCTAAACCTCAAACCCTAACCCCAAAACCCGAAACAGAGAATCCGAAACCCTAAGCCACGTCTCACCATGAACCCTAAACCCCTAAACCCAAAAGCCCAGAACCCCAAACCCCACGTAAACCCCAAACCCTAAACCCTGAGACTCCAGGGCAACCCTAAACCCTAAACCCCAAACCCTGAGACTTCAGGGCAACCCTAGCCCCTAAACCCTAACCCCTAAACCCTAAACCTAAAACCTAAACCTTAAACCCAAAGCCCTAAACCTTAAAACCCTAAACCCTAAACCCTAAAACCCTAAACCCTAAACCCTAAACCTTAAAAGGAAAACCCTGAGACGTCAGGGCGCTTTGCCATCTGCGCCAGCCGCCGGGGCGCCTGGCCGGCGGCTCGGCGCGAGGGTCGGCTGCTTGAGGCCGCAGCGGTGCCCCTGCGCCTACAAATGATATCATATAATATACTATAGTATAATTAAGCAACATATTATAATCATATAATATAATAGAATATCATATAATATAATATTGTACAATATAATATAATATAGTCTAACAGTCTAACATAATACAAGAATATCAGTAAGTTCAGATAGTCTTGCATACTAAACCCCCAAAGAACCAAACTGCCCTTTTCCATGGTTTCAGGATAGTCTGCTCCTTGCGTTAGGGGTCACAAAAGAACGGGGGCTGCCCTGGGAGTTGTAAAGCGTCCATGTGCCGGCTATCCCCGGCCTGATGGTGATGATGGGCATCATCGTCGCCATCATGATCGTTGAAACACTCCCATGATGCTTCCTCATCATCCCGAGTAGTTTCGTCACCGCCATCACTTATTGCCAGACATGTCGCCGCATGATGGAGCCAATAACCCCAGCGTCGAGCTTCGAGGTGACATCACATTGTGCCGAGAATTTTGCAACAATCATTTTGCGGAACCGTCTTGGCAATCTTGGTCAAAAGCAAGATTGCCAGCAGTCTTGGTCATCTTGCAATCTTGGTCATTTTGCCACACTTGCCCCGCTTGCTCCACTTGCTTGTCGACTAGTTTACAATTTAGACCAAGATTGACCAAGCTTGCTGGCAATCTTGCCCCCACCCCCTCGGCAAGTGGGGCAAGGGGGCAAGATTGCAAGATTGCTTTGGCAAACTGGCTCAAATACTTGTTCTAAATTCCCGGCACACTGTGACATCAACTTCATCTGTATAGCCCGGCATGGGAGTTTCTTACTAGCCCCTCCGCCGCGCCGTGGTCAGGTAGATTGATGCTGCCCAAGATTCGCGAAGCATGGCCGGTCTCAAAAAGCATGTTGTGCATGCTGTAGAGTCTGTAGTATTGACGGTGGCCATGGCATATCGGAGGCCAGACTTGTCCGGCTTGGGTTGATATGATTGAAGTTTGAGGTAGACAAACCTTCGGATCGAAATAGTTCCGACGGGCGTAAGATACATGGCATCGCAGCACTACTGCCGTGCCGTTGGCTCAGCTTCATTTCCTAGTGTTCTACCCTTTGTGTGTTCTTCACACACCGCGCGACGTTCTTCCCTTCATTTCGTCGGGGCCCCGGTCCATCGGGGGACATGGGAGTGCGCAAGGCGAGCATTTGCCAGCTCTTTGCGGGTATCAGGGATTAGAGGGAATCGACTGCGAGGCTTGGAGACCGTCTGGAACAGGAAACGCGCCAAGAGACCCGAAACCTGCACCTTTGCGGTTTAGGGTTTAGGCAGGGTTTAGGAAGCCAAGCTCCAAGTCCGGACTTTGGAGCTTCGTGCTCCAAGTTTGCGCCCTTCAGGGCCCTGTGGAAGCTCCACCCTCAGGGCGCACGCTTTACGTGAGGCACGGACATTGGAGTCCATTTCCTGTTTATTCGGCCCTGACAACGCAAAGTGCTAGGGCATCCCACCGTCACTGGAACTGGGCGTGAAGTGGAACCCTAAACCCTAAACCGTTGGAAGTAAAAAGAGCTCAGCAAATGGCCCCGATTCATGACTTTGCGTATTCGGATCTTCGCGGGCAAGCTACAGGGCAGCTTCGAACCTCCGTTCTCCAGCGCCCTTTGATGAACAATGCCTTGAAACAGACTGAAATGTGATGTTTTTCGCAGCCTGGCTGTCGCACTGTACTTGAAGGAATTCTCATTGTGATAGATGTCCCGCCCTCCTCTTGCTTGCGAGTCTTCATGTTCATAATCTAGGGGTCTGAATAAGTATCGATACTATCCCCTTGTAGTCCCTGGCTTAGACAAGGATTGAATGTGGCAAATCGGGGAACTAGCACTTACAACCTCGTTGCAGATCTTCGCGCTAGCTAACTTTTCGTTCCCAAAGCCGCTGCGCAGTTTCCATTATCCATCCGACATTCTCCTGGAGAATGCAGTCGTTTTTGAGTCGGCGACCCAGGCTCCGGTGAGATACCTTTAGAACTACGCTGCTGCTTTTTCCAGTGCCATTTTTTCGCTGGGAGCTGATCAAGTTCTGAGCCCCGCCGTGCAGAGACTTGGGTTACTTTGCGACCGAACATTAGGCAACTACGTGGACTACATCTTTGCCGCCATGTCAGACAGCCAGGCAGCTCTGGCGCAGGAGCCGTTTCCCCGTTGGATGATGAAAACCTGCTCCTGTTCAACGGCTTGGGAAGCTGCGGTGCCGTCTTCACTGCCCACATCTGATATGTAGCATCTTGCCGGATTCACTAGGAAACAACCTGGGAGTGGCAGAGGGAATAAGCAGACAAAGCAACGATTGACCTTGCTTGAGATAATGTAGGAGAAATAACCACTACTATTTTAGGATTTTAGGGGTTCCTTATTATTATCATTATAGTATAGGGGAGCCCAAAACCCTATTCTAGTTCTTAAGGCCCCTACATTACCTGAGTCCCAAAAGCCCTATGCCCTAAATCCGGAACCCTGAATGCTTCTAAAGGAGTTCATCGTCCTGGCCACCTTCGCCATCTCCTTCACGCTTTGGCACGGTCCCTGGTCCCTCATGCACAGATGAAACATCCTGGCAGTCCTAGCACATGCCAGCTGAGTGGCCGCGGAAGCAGGTGAAACTTCCGTTGAACCTCAGCAGCATCCTGCGAACAGACTGCGATTCACGAGCTATGCGCCGGCGAAGCCATACGGACGTTTCAGTACAAAGGGGGCGAATACAAACCCTGAGCGGATCCTGATGTTGAAGACCTCTAAACCCAAGTTTGCGGAAACTCCAAGAGGAATTTCTAGCAGCGGTTCTGGCATCCTGAAACAAAGCTTGAGCCATTTGACATGGCGACCTTGTTGGTTTCGATTGGGTTTGGGGGTATGTCGGAGCCTAAACTATAATTAGTGTCGAAAAAAGGAATAAACATACAGACTAGTCATTATGCATATGGCCTCTACATTATGTCCTCGCCGCGACCTCCAGAGCCCACAGGTTCGGACGATTCTTCCAGCATATTGCATTTTACATTATCCAAGCCTGGCCTGGCTCAGGACTTCTGCACGATGCTGCTCTGATGGTAATGATGATGACGAGTACGGTCACGCTGGTGATAGGATGACAGCTGTACTAGTACGTAGTTTTTCTGATAGCTGCCAGGACTTACTCATCTATGTTGCTGTTGGACGTGTTCTTCTAGTCATTCTTGTACTGAGTCCAGGCGCCACTTCGGACGCTCCGCCCGCCAGTTCGGCGCTGATAGCACCTGCATTCGGGGACGACATACTTTGGGGCTTCTGAGGTTTCAGACGGCTCAGCCTTGCACCAGAGGTTATCGTGAGATGAGAGGCAACAAGGTTCATGCACAGCGTTTCGCCTCGTTACAGCAGGTTGCGTCAGGAGAATTCACAGGGATGCATGCTGCCACTCGGAGCTGTGCAGCAACAAGCAGATGCGCAGTGGGTTTATAGGTGCACCTGCCAGCATTCGGGCAGCCTGTAGATGCCTTACTCCAAGAGCCATTGTTCAGACTTGAATTTCAATAACAACACTATCCAACAGTAGGTACTGAACAACAACTGCAAGAAGAAGTACTACCAGTAGCTACCAACTGTTACAACAGCAGTAGTGGTAGTCGTCGTCGTAGTAGTAGTAGTAGTAGTAGTCGTAGTCGTAGTAGTAGTCGTAGTAGTCGTCGTCGTAGGTAGGTAGGTAGGTAGGTAGGTAGGTAGGTAGGTAGGTAGGTAGGTAGGTAGGTAGGTAGGTAGGTAGGTAGGTAGGTAGGTAGGTAGCTAGGTAGGTAAGTAGGTAGGTAGGTAGGTAGGTAGGTAGGTAGGTAGGTAGGTAGGTAGGTAGGTAGGTAGTAGTTAGAAGTAGTAGTAGGTAGTAGTAGTAGTAGGTAGTAGTAGTAGTAGTAGTAGTAGTAGTAGCAGCAGTAGCAGTAGTAGTAGTAGTAGTAGTAGTAGTAGTAGTAGTAGTGGTGCTCGTAGTAGTATTTGGACCGGTAGTGGTGGTCGGTGGCGATGGTGGCGGTGGTGGCGATATGATAGCAACGAATGGTAGTACAGAGGCAGTGGTAGTGTAGTGATGGTAGTTCTGCGGGTTACTGCTGGTTATGGTAGAGGTAGTGATGGCGGTAAGGGCAGCGGGTTCGGTTGCCGTAGTTCAGTAGGAGCTTCCAGAAGAGTACTGGCAGTCGTCGTCGACGTCCTAGTCTTAGGAAGTAGTAGCAGCAGAAGTCGTACCAGTAGTATGTACAGACTACAATACTGCGAATGTTCGACAATGGTACTAATCGTAGCAATAGCAGTAAGAATCATGCCTGGGCAACCCGTAGGAGTAGTAGGAGCAGTATGAATAATTACGACATGAAGTAAGTAGTTATTTTCGTTTTTGATCACTGTTCACAGGTATGCTTACTCCCGGTCATTGCGATTGTTGCGCTTTCAGGTAAGTTCAGTCTTTCCAAGTCTTGTTATTCCGTACGTTTCAGCACGTGCAACTGTAAGTGCCACTGGATATGCTACTGTTCTTGTTCATGGTCCATGGTCAGAAGTAGTCAGACACCTGCACGACTCACTATGTTACGCTACGAAACTTTCTTGGGTTTTGCGTTCTCAAGACCTCAACCCGAAAGACGCACTGGTTTCCCAGGTCCCGAAAAGTTGGGCTGGTGGAGGCACCCGTGGAGAAATGTCCGGCGCCGAAGGCGCAGCTGGAAGGAGATTCAGAGGGCAGGTTGGGAGGTTCTAGCTGAAACCGGCTATTAACCTAGAGGAATAAATTTGCGAGTGAGGGTTCAACTTTGAGTGCCCACTCTGGCAATTGGATACGTTTCGCTTTGTGCATTGATCCATGCTTGCTTGAAGCCCGCTTCCGGCAATGCCGAGGCTTGGAACAGACCATGTGCTGAATGGACAGTGTTAGACAGTGTGAGTGAGGTGCGGCACCATGCGACGCGTTCTCGTATGGGATAGGATAGGTGCTGGACTTTGCAATATATTCCGCAACGTACGGCCCTCGACAGAGTTGTGCACTGGGTTTTCGCAAGATCTCGACAGGGCATGCACGAATGTCTTGCCCAAGGTTGCGCAGTAACACATCGGACCCTTTTGACTGCCGACACGTAAACCGTTTTTTCGGATCACATGTCTGGCAGAAGACAACGACTTCAATAGCAGTAGTAGTAGAATTTGTAGTCGTGTCATGTTCATCAGAATAATGGTAGGCTGTACTAGGAATATCACGTGCCTCTTCGTAATAGTCGTGGGAACAATCAAAAGAATCGAAATCATCGTCAGAACAGGACTGCACGACTGCGAACGATGATCTTAGATCTTAAACGACGATTGCTACTTGCCGTACTTTTGAGCGTAGCGGCAACAGTAACAGTTGCTCTGAGTGAGCAAATTGATTTCGACAGCAGTCTTCATGAGTCCTTCGATCGACTTGCGTCGAGGCGCCACGTGGCAAGAGCTCCCGCAACTTCACCGACCAGGAGAAGGCAGAGACGGCCTTTGGCTTAAGTATGTAGCTTAGGCTTCAGGAGATTTTTTACTTCAGGGTTTGGGGATATAGGTTCAAAAGTTTTTGGAATGGTCTTGCTAGTCGGGAAGAACTGGGAAACTGCCCGGAGTCCGGCTAGGTTAAGATTCGGGCAAGCTGCTGCTGAAGATGAGCGATTGCTGGTTGGTCAAGGGATTGGGTTTGGGGTTTAGGGTTTACCTATAGTCTCCATTGTAGTTCCTTTTTTCGGTTTAACCAATTATATATTAAGGAGTTTATAAGGTATCCCCAAAAAGGAACTACTATGGAGGCAATAGGTAGGGTCCAGGGTAGGGAGATCCCAAGCAAAGATCCCAAAAGGCTCTGAAAGGCGCAGAAGCTTGGCAGGAGCATGTGAAAGCTGCGGAGAAGGAGATGCTGGCGTTCCTGGCCAGGTTCCCAGCGATTCGCCGATTTAATATAGGGGCCTGAATAATTACCCGTACTATTTGGGGTTCCTTATTATGATTATACCCTAAACCCTAAACCCTAAACCCTATAGTATACTATACCCCGAAGCCCTATTCTAAAATTCGGGCCCCTACAGCACAAACAGCAACACGAGAGCCCAAGCCGCCCGAGACCCTGCCTTGCGCCTTGTGACTCCGAGGCCTCCTGCGAGTTCACCCGGGCATTGAACCAGTGATCCGCCAAAGAGGGGGGGGTGTCAGATCCTGTTGCGTTACGACACGCAGGACGTTGGTTTCAGCATAGGTCCCACGGAATTTCGTGAACACTTGAAATGTCTGATGTCGGTCGAAGCCCTCTGATGTGGCAAGCCTGTCAGTGTGATATGCCATTATGCCTCCTGGCCACTTTGAGACGCACACAGTCTCTCGAACCGGTGCCGGCTGACCTGCAAGGTACCGCGGGCTTCAGCGAACAGGTCTGGAGGTGTTGTTGAGCGAGGAGGGGTGGGGCCTGGGCTTCTCCGCAATTTTTGGCACAGAGGAACCAGTCGCCCTGAAGAACTCATTGTCAGGAGTTATTTGCCTCCTTCGTGCAGTCCGCCGTGCGAGTCAACAAGGCATTCGTCGGCTTTTGCCAAGGTCCGAATCTGTTTCCCTCATCGGCCCTGAGGCCCTCCAGCACCTGGCCCGCCCGCCACCCGCTCCCGAGTTCAAGTAAAATTATGGTGACTATCAGAAGGAGCCCGAAGCCCGAGGGCCCTAAGTGCAATGGCTTGCTGTCGAGATCTGTCAGCTGGGGGCTGGAATCTCGGGTCTTTGACTGAATCGTGCGCGATAGTACAAGTCTACAGTACTTTGCCCCATTCTCAGCTGTTCTGGAACGTGCTTGAGTCCAGAAAGGCTAGATAGAGGGTTCGACCCAAGAAGATCATGGACTGCCTGAATCCTGAAGCCGCTTTCTCCTCGTAGCGGGGACCGCAAGCTGCCCCGAAGATCACGATGGCGCTCCCATGGATCTTGGCTGCTCTGGGAGTCCTGGCGGCCGCTGAGCCGGCAGCTTCGGGCCTGGGGGGCGATCTTCCGACCCCCTTCATCGGCACACTTGCTGGAGTTGATGCCGTGCGTCCGAGGTTCCAGGCGATGGAGCTGCCGAGCTCCATCGCCTCGAACCTCCGAGGCACGACATCTTTCTCTGGCCTTGCTGCCCACCGCCCTGGAGATTCCGGACTTTGGCGGCTCGTCCAATGGATGCGTTCATCGTGGTCGTGCGAACCATTCAGCCTGGCCGTCGTGGCGGCTGTTGGGCTGGTCTCCTTGTTGGCACCCACGGCATCCGACGAATCCTCCAAAGGGCCAGGCACGGCATCCGTGCGTGGGATCTTCGACAGGGTCAAAAGAAGAAGACGACCGTCTCTTAGCCGTAGAGGCCGGCGGAGGCAAAGCATCCCAGGAGGAGGAGGAAGAGTTCGAGATGCAGCTGGGCCCAGTCAAGACCGCGGTATGTGCAGTTTACCATGTCTGCAACATCATCTTCTTGCTGTTTCTGACCTCTTGGTCCAAAGCGGAGAACTTGATGCTGGGTGGCGTTGGGGAGGTCATCTGGATCTTGTTGGTGGTCGTCCTTTCCACGATGTGCTGGGGTACTTTTTCCGCGTGGTGCAGGCGGCGGTCATGAAGAGCCGGATCAGTTGGACAGACCATTTGGCCCAGGGTGGACTTGCTAAGGACTGTCTTTTTGTGGCACAAAAACACAAGTCCACCCTTGGCCCCAGAACCGGAAACCAAGCTCATGACTATCGAGTATCGAGATGGCAGGGTCTGTCCAACTGATCTGGCCAACCTGACGACTTGGATGGGACTTCACCTTCTTCCTGCCGGCGCCGGCGTTGTTCTGGTTCGGAACGACCAGGAAGGACCTGGCGTCGGAGTTTTGGCCGGCGTTGGTTGCCCTCTTTTGGGTGAGCAAGGCGGCGACGGGAAAGCAGGAGCGCCCGCCGGAACAGACGACGTGGGAAT